GCTGTCACATCCTGTCACACACTGTCACCCCCCGTGTCACCCCCCCGTGTCCCCCCCGCACTGACCGCCTTGGGGGGGACCCTGCCCCATCCCTGTCCCCGTCCCCGGGGGGCTCCTGGGGCTCCCCCCACCCCCGCGGGATATTTTTGTATTTTGGTGGAAACGATTTCAGCATAAAAACCGGAGAAATGGGAGCGGCTGCGGATGTGGGGGGGGGAGAGGATTTACACACCCCTTACACAGCCCTTACACAGCTGTTACACATCCCTTACACACCCCTTACACAGCAATTACACAGCCGTTACACACCCGATACACACCGGGAGGTGACACCGGGGACACGGCCTGGGCTGGTGCTTTTGGGGTCAATCCAAGGATTTTTGGGGTCGATCCGAGGCTTTTTGGGATCCTGTATTTCTGTACAGCGGGGAGGGGGTGTGGGGGTGTCCCCACCATTGTCCCGGTCCCGGATCTGTCTGGGGGATCCGTTTGGGATCCGGGATCCATCCAGGGGGTCCAGAGGGGTTCAGGATCTGTCCAGGAGATCAGTCCAGAGGGGCCTGGGATCCGTTTGGGGGATCCAGGGGGATCTGGGATCCATCCAAGCAGTCCAGAGGGGCCTGGGATCCGTTTGGGATCCGGGATCCATCCAGGGGGTCCAGGGCAAACGGGTCCCATCCTTGGGGGTCCCGCAGCAGCCAGGAGTGCGCCGGCTCTGGGATCTCAGTGTCCCCTGCTTGTCACAGGTGTCCCCAAAGTGCCACAGGGACCTGGGATGTGCCACAGGTGTGCCATTGTCCCCCGGTGTCCCTGGGCTGGGCCTGGCAGCTCCCCACGATGTCCCCGAGGGTCCCTGGGGTGGCCCCGGGCTGTCCCCGATGTCCCCAGTGTCCCTTGTGGGTCACGGCGCTGTTGGTGCCACCTCGGGCAGTCCCCAGTGTCCCCGGTGTCCCCTGGGGTCACTGTGCTGGGGGTGTCACCTCAGGCTCGCTGTCACTGCTGTCCCCGATGTCCCCCGGGGTCAGGGCGAAGGGCGGTGGCAGCTCCTCATCCGACGAGCCCAGCGAGTCCTCGTCCCCCAGGCGTGTCCCCAAGGCCACCGCGCCGAAGGACAGCGGCCCCCGCAGCAGCCGGATCTGGGGACAGCGGGGACAGGAGAGAGGGGACACGTTGTCACCAGCTGTCCCCAGACCACGTGGCACTGAGGGGACATCGCCGGTGGCACCCAGGGATGTCACCAGTGGCACCAGGGCCAGACTGGGGGTTCCCAGCACCTGTGGGTGCCACCCAGGTGTCCCCAACCCCTGTCACCTCCCCCAGGCCCCCCTGAATGCCACTCGCATGTTTCCCCATGTCCCCACTCTCCTCCCAGTGTCCCCAACCCCTCCAGTGTCCCCCCAGTGTCCCCTCAATGTCCCCAGTG